ATAAATATTACCACGAAGAGCAGTTTTTGCATTTTATATTATTGTGTATTTAATGGGTCCAGCAAGCTTCTGCTGTGCTACTCTGCTTATTATTGTGTATTTTAAGTTCACACTAACCTCTTATAAAATTAAGTGTAACAATGATTTAGTTTTTGATATGTCAGTGTTTTAGGAATTTGGGGGAGAAACTACTGAAATTGTCTCTTAAGTAAAGAGACTGATCTCTAGAAGACTTAGGCTACAAGTTTGACTCTCTAGTCCTGAAATTAGCCAATAAGAAAACAGTACAAACTGCAAGAAATCTTTTTGTTTGTTTTTGGTTATGGTTATTGCAGAAGCAACATACACAGTAGACAGAATTGTCAGTTTGCATGAGACAAAAAGAATTTCTTTTGTTGTTTGTTGTAATCTGAAAAAGAAGGCCAAATTTCCTCTGAAAGCCAGATTAAGTGGTAGGTGACAAACCAGACTGGAGAGAGAGGACAAGTGCTTATCAGCAGTGATTGTTAGGAGCTACAGAGGCAATAGCAGTAAAATAAAAGCAGAGTGATTTTTGTAACTAGACTGACAAGAGTCTCTTTGCAATCTTGGTGAAGAAAGAGCTCTTATATATATAGTAATGAGAAGTCCTTGTCCAAACCCAAAGAACAGTGAGGACCAAACTCTCAAAGGTTAATCTTCTGTATGCAACATATTTTAGATGTCACCTTGAAGAAAGGGTATATTAGTGGTGGGTAATATTTTTTTACTATTTTTCTGCCTCCTAGAATTAATTAATGAATTCAATAATTGATTAAAAAATGGTTCTTTTTTTTTAAGATTTTATTTATTTATTAGAGAGAGCAAGCACAAGTGGGGGGAGCGGCAGAGGGAAGAGGAGAAGCAGACTCCCCATTGAGCAGGGAGCCCAATGCGGGGCTTGATCCCAAGACCCTGGGATCATGACGTGAGCCGAAGGCAGACACTTAACCGATTGAGTCACCCAGGTGCCCATTCGTTTTTTTTTTTTAAATGGTTGTGTTTCTATTGCTGTATGTTAGATACTGTATTTGTTTTATTGAATCAAATGTGGTCCTGTGTATTTTTGAGAGTATAAAGTGTTAAAGATGGTAATGTATTCTTCAAGTTTTGTGCAATTTTTGATCTTGCATTAATGCCAAACGTGTACTTTTAAAGTTGCTGATACCTGAAATTCTACTGAAGTTAAAAATTAAGGACTTTTCAGAACAGCTAGCAAGGAAGCTATCAAAGATTAGTACTAGGATAGTGTCAAAAGAATGCAGGAGTCAATTTGGAGAGACCCTTCTGGCCAAAAATGGGACAGATTGACCATTAATCAGAATGACTAAAATGGATTGAAATATATCAAAGAATGTTTAAATCTATGAAATAATGATACAAATTTATGTGTCACTACTTCAGGATGGTAGGTAGTGAACTCATTATTTTGAGAACTGGTAAATAAGGAGACAATTTAGCCTGATTTTCCTATATGAACTATACTGCTGAGTAACCAAAGAAATGTGGGGAATTTTCTCTTTTTGAAGTATTCTGACAAATGAAGAAGTGGTAAAATTTGAATATCACCATTTTATAACCACCTAATGGATAAATGGTTCTGGGCACTGAACAACAGCAGACACTACACAAATAAAGAGACAACCAAATATTATGTGGTTCCTGATGAAACAACTTAACACTGCCCTTTTTTTTTTTTTTAAAGTAGGCTCTATGCCCAACTTGAGGCTCGAACTCATGACCGTGAGATCAAGAGTTGTTAGCCATACCAACTGAGCCAGGCAGGTATCCCAGAACTCCTCACTGCTTAATAAGTAGTGTTGTTCTAATAAAAAGAGTCAGAATTTCGATAAAACCTGTATATCCATTGATTTATAGAACATATAGAAGAACAGGTTAAACAACACCATGGGAATTAAGTCAGCAAAATTCAGACTGGAAAACTACCAAGACAAAAATTTAGGGCAAACAACTTGGTTTCTTCAATTTAAAATTGGCTCTTAAAAAAAGACATCCTGGGGGCACCTGGGTGGCTCAGTTGGTGAAGTGTCTGACTCTTGATCTTAGCTCAGGTCTTGAGCTCAGGGTTGTGGGTTCAGACCCTGCTTTGGGCTCTGTGCTGGGCATGGAGCCTACCTTAAAAAAAAAAAAAAAATACATCCTGTGGCTTACAGGAGACTTAAAAGACATCTCAGTCAACAATAGTATATGGATCTTATTAGGATCTGTTCACACACACAAAAATTCTAACACTTGTAAACAGTTGGAAATTGAGGCTATTTGATGATATAAGGCATTGTTTATTTTTTTTTATAATGGTGGTTTGGCTGTGTTTTAAAAAGTTCTTGTCTCTTAGAATACATACTGAAAAATTTATGAATTAAATTATTTTATGTCTGGGGGTGCCTAGGTGGCTTATTCCGTTAAGCAGCTGCCTTTGACTCAGGTCATGATCCCAGGGTCCCAGGTTCGAGCCCCATGTTGGGCTCCCTGCTCAGGAGGGAGTCTGCCTCTCCCTCTCCCTCTCTCCCCAGCTTGTGCACTCTCCCTCAAATAAATAAATAAAATCTTTATAAATAAATTAAAAAATTAACTATCTGAGTTTTGCATCAAATTAACATGGAAGTAAGGAAGTATTGGTGCAGGTAGAGATGAGACTAGGTTCACCATGAGTTGATAATTGCTGAAGGTGGGCAATGAGTACCTGGACATTTATTGTACTTTTTTCCTACCTTTGCATATGTTTGAAATTTAATGTTTGAAAAACTAAGGAGAACCTTGAAAAAAAATCTAGGATCAAGTCATGGAAATACTATCTTCTGAGGAAGGATTTTTAGACTGTGGAGTAGGGAAGCCTAGGTGGCTTAGTCAGTGAAGCATCTGCCTTCAGCTCAGGTCATGATCCCAGGGTCCTGGGATTGAGTCCCGCATCAGGCTCCCTGCTCAGTGGGGAACCTGCTCCTCCCTCTGCCTGCCGCTTCCCCTGCTTGTACTCTCTCTCACTCTCTCTGACAAATAAATAAAATCTTAAAAAAAAAAAAAGACTGTGGAGTAGTCTCTCTTTAAACACTTTAGCACAGTCTCTATAAAAGCATTTGATCAGTGGGTGAAAAAAAAGCGTTGGTGGCATATTGGCTTTGTTAGGTAATAATCACAAAAGATACTTTGAATAGGACTGACAGGTCAGAACACCAGTGGCCATGGTAAACAAGATGCTTTTCTGGAGGGTGAGTTTCTTAGGAAAATGTGCTTTAATTCTTGCGTCACTGATTTGGCTAGTAGGCTACAGATTTTAATGTGCAAGGAGGTACATTGTTATATTTGCTTTACTTTAGAGTAAGAGTAAGCCTTTAAAAAATAGAGGCAAATGACCAAAAACATACTGGGTCTTCAACAGTTATTTGCCAAATAAGTGAAAAAGTAAGTTGACATCAGGAAGTTTTTCAAAAGTTCCAAGCCTGAAGCTTGAGTGAATATTTATACTGCTTTATGTTCCTCATGCTTTTCGAATTATCTTTGACATTCACGATAACTTATGTTCCTGATGAATTCTCGGAGTCATTAAGAAAAGATTTATTTTTCTTGATTTCAGAAGGCGTGTATCTGCACATGCACACACATGAGTTAATATTTTGGGACGATCATTACTAAACAGAAAAGTTTCACCCTTGGGGCGCCTGGCTGGTTCAGTAGGTAAAGCATGTGACTCTTGATCTCAGGGTTGTGAGTTCAGTCCCCAAGTTGGGTGTAGAGATTACTTAGGGAAAAAAAAAGGAAAGAGAAGTTTCAGCCCTTAAATGCTTAACTCTCCACTCTCAGGAAAAACTTGACTATCTCTAATGGTATAACTTCATTATTTCACCTAACACTTTAAAAAATATGTAAATTATTTACAAGGTGTTCAAGGTCTAATACTTACAGTAAAAAAAAAAGAGAGAAAGAGGGTCACATGAGCGTAGAGACAGATTTAGTTTTCTGCCACTTCAGTGCAAGTATGGAATATATTTTTCTTCGGTATTTCAGTCCTCCAAAGCCCACTGTCAACCAGATGCAGCAGCTGAAGTGCTTTGTAATTAGTCTTCTATTCTTCCCTCAATTAGAATTCCTATATACCGAGGAATCTCACCAAATGTTGATCTAATTATCTGATTAAAAAAAATCAGTGACAGTATGAATGACTGATTAATATAATTCACTTATTGATTGTGAAATGAAAGAGGAATAAATCTCTAGCTAGCAGAAGGACACAGGGTAATTTTGAGTAGGAAGCCCACCTTACCTCCCCACTCTCTGAGTTCTCTATTCTGCAAAGTACATTATGCCAACATTTTTTAAAAATGAACCTAGTCTCATCTCTACCTGCACCAATACTTCCTTACTTCCATGTTTTTAAAATTTGGATGGAACCAGCATACAAAATAAAAAGTATCTATTATATGTCAGAGATGTTTCAGAAGAGGTGAATAAGAATGTCTTACCTGATTTTACATATTTTAAAAGTTTCCAGGGGTGCCTGGTTGGGCTAAGTGGGTTAAACATCTGATTTTGGCTTAGGTCATGGTCTCGGGGTCCTGCGATTGAGCCCTGGGTCAGGCTGCAGGAGGAAGCTGCTTGTCCCTCTGCCCCTTCCTCTGCTCTTGCTTGCGCGTGCTGTCTCTCTCTCTCTCATTCTCTCAAATAAATAAATGAATAAAATCTTTTTAAAAAAGACTTAAAAAATAAAAGATTGCCATATAAATAAATTTACAAATTAGAGAATAGGAGTATTATCATTATTTTTTCTTTACAAAATGTAGTCCCCATACACCTACAGGTCAATGAAACACCTCCATAGAGAGGGTGGATTAGCATGTGCATTTGAGTATTTAGCAGAAAGTTTTATTGTTATTCTGTAAAATTATTCTCTTTCATAGTGGGTATGTTTTATTGGGTATAAAATCTTTGTTGTGAGTTTGTTTGAAATTAATTTTTTTTTCTTGTAGAATGGCAGAATTTAGTGACATTGGGAAGCTTTTCAAACATGGTTCACTGTAGTCACCCATATATTTGTACACTGAGTCAAGTGAAGTCATACTCCACAAATGTTCAGAAAGAAGGACAGGGATCACAGACTCTCAGAGTGGAAAAAGTACCATCATTTGATGAAACAGGTGTGTATAAATCTTTTAAAATAATTTTTTTTTTCTGTATACTGAATTAGCTTGTGTAAGATTATTTGTCCCTTGAATGTTCATTAGAACTTATGTACAAAACTATCTAAATTAGTGTTTACTTTGTGGAAAGCTATTAAACTGCTAATTTTAATTTTTTTGCTTTTGACTCAGTTTTGGTAAGTTCTCTTTTTTTCTGGGAGTTTGTTCACTTAAACTAAATTTTTAATTTATTGGCATCAAGTTCATAATAGTCTCTGTATACTCTTAGCAGCATATATAGTTATATCCTTTTTTTCATTCTTAATGGTGTTTGTCATTTTCTTGATTAATCTTGCCAGAGCTCTGTCCATTTTCTTATTTTTCCAAGTAATATCTTTTTACTTTGAACATTTATATTGTATGTTTGTTTCCTGTTTCGTTAATTTTTATTCTTACCTTAATTGTATCCTCTTGCTTTCTTTGTGTTTATTCTGTCATTCATTTTTAAATTATCAGGGAGCTGTTTTGTTCATTAATTCTGAACCTTCTTTCTCTTCTAAAGTAGGCATTTAAGCCATGATAGCTCTGATGGATTTGACAGTCTTTCCTTTAACAGTTTTCCTAAAATTTTGCTTTATATATTTTGAAGCTATGTTATTAGATACATAAACATTTAGAGTTGTTACATAACACTGATGAATTACATCCTTTATTTTTATGTAACAGCTCTTTTTTTTTTTTTAGTATTATCTCTACCAGATTTTATTAGTATTTTCCTGGTATAAATTTTCCCATCCTCTGACTTTAACCTTTTTTTGGTCCTGATTTGATAATCTTTGTCTTATAATTGGAAATTTGGTCTGTTTATATTTACTGTTATCACTGATATGTTTGGGCATATTTCTGCCACTGTATCATGAACTTCCTTGTGTTTTTTTTTTTTTAATTTCTTTTTGGCATTTTAAAATTTTTTTCTTTTTTAGTTTTCTTTTTTCTCATTGCATTATCCTCTTTTCCCCATATGCACACACATACATGGACTTGTTTGGGAGTTATATACTCTATGTACTTCAAAGTCTAAAGGTTATTAAAAAGTTTACATTCTTTTCTGAAAAATATAAAGAAATTAGAATTCTTTAATTCTGGTCACTTTCTCCCAATTTACATGCTATTTATTGGCTAGTATTTTGTGTCTGTTCTGCTCTTTCCCTTCTATACAATATACGTTGTTATTTGTTCAGATTTCTCTAAAATCTTTGTTAACCACTTTTTCTTATTTCTCTGGTCTTTCTGTCTGATGTGCATCCTAGGCAAACAAGTTCCTTTAGGTGAGGATCTTTTTATGGTAAAGGCACATTTAAGATGTTATTCCAGTGTCTTTTGGCTTCTGTTGGTGTTGAAAAGTCACATATCATGCTTTTGTTCTCATGTCTTTTCTATTTTATTGCTTTTTAAATTTGATTAACTTTATTTTGAAAATCTTTTTCTTTGGTGTAAACTTTAATTTTACTATGTATGTATTTCTGCATACTAGGTATGTATTTATCCTGCTTGAGATTTGTTGAGCTTCCAGCATCTGAGGATTAGTATTATTCTACAGATCTCTGTCACTCTCTATTACCTTTTCTCAGTTCTCTTTTTTTTGCTCTTAAGTTTATTTACTTATTTACTTAAAGATTTATTTATTTGAGAGAGAGAGTGTGAGCAAGCACAGCGGGGAGAGTCAGAGGAGGAGGAAGACGGAGAGAGGAACTCTAAGTAGATGCAGAGCCTAATGTGGGGCTTGATCTTATGACCCTGAGATCATAACCTGAACCAAAACCAAGAGTCGGACACTTAACCGACTGTACCACCCAGGTGCCCCTTTGCTCATTTATTTTTAAGTAATCTATACACCCAACATGGGGCTCGTGAACTCTCAACCCTGAGATCAAGAGTCACATGCTCCACTGACTGAGCCAGTTCTCAGTTCTCTTTTATCTCCTTTTGGAACTCTAATTAGAATTATGTTAGGTCTTTTTGCTTTATTTTCCATGTCTCTAAACGTCTCTGTCATATTTTGTATTTCATTATCTTTCTGGCCTGAATTCTGCATTATTTTCTTAGGTCTGCCTAGTTTGCTAATTCCCTTGTTAGTTTGCCTCTGATCTACTGGTTGATATGTATGTTGGGTTTTTAATTTCAATGATTATATTTTTCATTTCTAGAAATCATTTATTTTTCACCTTGCTTATTCTTTTTTTCCTTATGTTTTCAAACTCCTGTTTTATTACTTACCATATTAAACATGCCTATTTTATATTCTATAAATGAAAATTCTATCTGAAATTTTTTGGTTCTTACTATATTATCTTTTTCCTCTGTGCACTCATTCATGATGCCATATCTATATTTTTTAATTGAGAGTTGTTCATTTTCCATGTAGTTTTATATTTTGGAACTATTTGAAGTCTCTCTGGATTGAAGATGCATTCCTGCATAGCATTTACTTCTGCCTTTATTAGCTGCTGGGAATACAGCTTAGGACCAAATTAACTTAAATTCTTTGCTCTAGACTTTTTAGACCACTTTGGTAGCATGCATTCAGACTGCAAGCTTGTGTGAGGGCTGACTTAGCCTTATGTTTTTCACCCTCACTATTTAACACCAAAGGAGAGGTTGGCATGCTTTCTTGCTATTCCCTTCTGTGTATTTTTTTTTAGTTCACAGCTGTACTGTCTGTCTAGCTTTTTTTCTGGGTGTCTCCTGTTAGATGTTCCAGTCTTGTTTTCTGGTCTCTCATGCCCCTAGCAGCAATGGAAGTAGAAGCTCAAAGACTATAAACCTCAACAGAAATCTCAGGGGAAAGGTTGGCTTTGGTGTTCTCACTTAGTCTGTAGAGGTTCTGCTTTCCTTTTGTTTTTGCCCTCTTTGCATCATTTTTTGTGAGCTTAGCAATGTGTTTGAAAAGATTTTGTTCAGGATATCTAGTCTGCTGTGCAGCATTAAAATGAAGTCCTTTATTCATTAATTTATTCAAGAAGTATTTTTTTTAAGGATTTTATTTATTCACTTAGGAGGTAGAACAGGGGGAGGAGCAGAGAGAGAGGGAGAAGCAGACTGCTCTGAGCGCAGAGCCGGACTCATGGCTTGATCCCACATCCCTGAGATCATGACGTGAGCCAAAATCAAGAGTCGGACGCTCAACTGACTTAGCCACCCAGGCACCTCAAGATATATTTATTGAACACTTTTTATATGGCAGCAAATAGAATGACTCTGAGTTTATTACTAAAACAGAAAATCGCTAAAACCAAGTTAAGCAAACAAATATAATACTGTGTAGTAAATATTGTGATGGAGGAAATGTGATGGAGGAAATACTGTATGCTGCAGGAGCACTTAGAGGTCAAGAACTGAGTCTTGAGTGGTTGAGCAAGTTTTCCATGAGGAAATATTATCTAATTAGGGACCTAAAAGAAAATTAGGTATTGGTGTGATGAATGGTAGAGAAAGAAGGTAAAATGCAAGTAATTTAGTGTGATTAGATTAGTGAGTATAGGACCTGGTGGTGATGTTGGTAGTTTTGAGAGCACAAGGGATGAATATCAGGAAGTAAGTAAAGTCAGATCAAGGTTTTGTTGAGGAGTTTGGACTTCGTTTTCTAGGCAGTGGGAATCTGTTAAGAGTTTTAAGTAGAGGACGTACTTGATCAGATTTAAAATTTTAGAAAGATAATTAGTTGCCGACTGGAAAACCGATTGGAAAAGAAAGAGATTAAGAGCAGTAATACAAATGAGGATCTAGACTAGGTTAATGGCAATGCTTTTTTTAAGTGAGTAGATGAACTGGAGATTTAGCAGCTGAATAATTAGGACTTGGTGATTGAATTTAGGAAAAAGAGAAGAGGATCAAGTAAAGCATGGTGCCTGGTTACTGACTGGATTGGATGATCGTTTGGATGATTCACTGATTTCTAAAATTGGGAATACCAAAGCAAGAGTGTATTTTAATGAGAAGATGGTGATTTAGTTTTGGACATCTGAATTGTAGGTGCCTCTCTGACATCTTAACAGATGACTGGTAGGCAGTTGGGTATGCTACTTTTCTGCTGTGAGACATCATTATCTCTTGGCTGGATTACTGCCTTCTCCCTGGGCTCCGTGCTTTCACTCTCTTTCATGCTTATTACGTTTCAGCCAAACCAGTCTCCTTTTAATACAAACCTTATTCTCATTATAGGGCCTTTGCTCTAGGTACTTTCTCTTTCCAAGGTACCCTTCTACAAATGGCTGACCCTTCCGGTCGTTTACATTTTAGTTAAAATGTCAACTCTGCACAAAGTCATTCTTTAATCACTTCATCTAAAGTAGCCACCCCCTCAGTCGGTTAAGTGTCTGTCTACCCCCTCAGTCGGTTAAGTGTCTGTCTTTGGCTCGGGTCATGACCCATGGTCCTGGAATCTAGCCCCGTGTGGGGCTCCCTGCTCAGCAGGGCATCTGTTTCTCCCTCTCCCTCTCCCTGTGCCCCCTGCCCACTTGTGCATGCATGTGCGTGCTCTCTCTTTCTCTCTCTGTCTAAAATAAATAAATAGAACCTTTAAAAAATAAAATAAAGCAGCCACCCAGTCTTTAATATTAGCCTAATTTTAATTCTCTTTGTAAGTAGCAGCTAATACTGATTGATATTTTCAACATTTATTTATTTCTCATCTCCTACTTGTTTCCAAAGCCCTATGAGAGCAGAAGCCTCAGTGCCTAGAGCAGTGGTTTGCACATAGTAGGGGTTTAATAAATACTTGTAAATGAGTGAATGCAGAGTTCTAACTTGGGGAGAGATTTAGGAGTAGTTATTAGCTATACCCAGGAGACAACTAAGTCATGAGTGTGTTTGAGACAGTACAGGAAGGGAGTTCAGAGTGAGGAGATAAGATCTTCTAGTACAAAAATCCCCAATAAATAAGGGACAGGTGGAAGAGGAGAAGCCTGCAAAGAATACTTAAGAAGGAGCAGCCTGGAGAGGTAGGAGAAAAACCAAGG